GATCTACACCATTAAACAATGATATTTAACAAATTTACACCGTTAAACAATGATATTTAATGATCTACATCATTAAACAATGATATTTAATAATCTAGTCCGTTAAACAATGATATTTAATAATCTAGTCCATTAAACAATGATATTTAATAATCTAGTCCGTTAAACAATGATATTTAATGATATACATCATAAAACAATGATATTTAACGATATACTTCGTTAAACAATGATATTTAATGATATACTTCGTTAAACAATGATATTTAACAATATACTTCGTTAAATAATGATATTTAACAATATACTTCGTTAAACAATGATATTTAACGATATACTTCGTTAAACAATGATATTTAATGATATACTTCGTTAAATAATATACATCGACGACTCTGATATATATCGATATATATCAAATATCTGTTTCGATATGCATCAATGACTCCGATATATATTGATATATAACTAATGATAAAAATCAATACAAATCACCTCAAAAAATTTCCTGATGTTCACCAGATAGAAGAAAAAGGCACCAACAAGCATGCCGGTGGTAAGGGTCAGCCAAAGAAAATAACGAAATCAACTGCACGCACAATAGGACAATTTATTCGTTATGATTCTTCTATTTCAACAAGAAATATTGTAACAAAACTGGAAAATAAGGGTGTTGAGGTCTCTTATAGGACTGTTGCATGGCATTTAGGTGGCAGTGGATATTCATTTAACCTCCCCCACAAGACACCTATGCTCACTGAGAATCAAAAGCAAAAACGTGTCAATTGGGCCCAAAGACACCTTAATGACAACTGGAAAAAGACGTTTTTTTCAGATGAGACGTCTTTTCAACTATTTAGAAACACGGTTAAACGTTGATATAAAGGTCCCTGACCAATTCGTCGCATTCCAAAGAACCGTAACAAAATTCATGCATGGGGTGGATTCTACATAGGAGGTAAATCGTCTTTGCACTGTTTTAGGGAAACGATGAATGCTGATTTTTTTATCGGAATTCTTCGTGAAAATATCCCGGAGGTAAAGGCGATGCTTGGCAACCGGTTTCGATGGCAGCAAGACAATGATCCGAAGCATAACAGCCATCGTGCCCGGGCTTTTCTCGAACAAAATGTTCCCGAAATTATCGACTGGCCATCCTACAGTCCCAATCTAAACCCTATCGAAAATTTATGGACAATCGTTAAAAGAAACGTCGAGAAACGAATGCCAAAAAATCTCAACGAATTAGAGCAATTTATGGTGGAGGAATGGAATAAAATTCCAGACTCGACGTTAAAATCTTTGGTGGAATCAATGAGGGATAGGTGTTTGGAGGTGATAGAAAAAAATGGCGAAGCAATTTCCTTCTGATTTTTTTTTAAATAAAAGGTCTATATCGCAGTAATTAATCAAAAAATTTTCACGTGGTTTGGTGTCGTCATTCTCGAGTAATCTCGAAATTTGTAAATCTGGATTCTAATATCCCACACTGTATATATTAAGTATATATATTTGATATATATATCAAATAGATATATATTATATATATTGGATATATATCAAAGATAGATATATATTATATATTAAGCATATATAAAATATATGAATATTATAAGTATATAATATATTAAGTATATATATTAAAAATATACTATAGAAAAGAGTTTTAATTTTTTTTCTAGAATTTTACTATTTTACTTAAGTAACTTATGATAATAATTAAAAAAGAAATGAAATAGTTTAAATTCTCAAAATTACATAAAAACTAATATTATAACAGATTTGAGATGTCTAAGTCAAAAAATTTCAGTATATTTTGATATATATCAGTATTAAAATTATGAAAAAATAAGTATATCTAATTATATAATTAAAAAATATACAAATTTTATATATTTTTTATTTATTATAATATTTCATCATCTCTTAGAATTGGCTCAAATAAATATATTTATAGAAAAAATTTGTCATGAAATATTAATCAGTTTAAAAATAATAACAGATGATAATTTGATTTCATTTGTTAAGCATGCATAAAACTAAATTTTTCATGACCAAAAATTCAAATAGAAATAGTTTTTGTATTATAATTATTTATTAGATAAATTAAAGAATAAAGATGATCTTTCATTCATATTATTTATTAAGATAAAGAATAATCATATTGAATTTAAATTATTGTGATAATTATAAATTATCAGGAAGTTGTTTTATGCTAATAATTTAATTTATAATGAGTCATAAAATCATCAATTCATTTATTTGCTTTCAGTAACGGATAAAGATTATCATAGAATCATAGCTCAAGATACAGGTTTTTGTTCATAACGTAATTCTTGTATCAAATTATAAATTCAATGGTTTTTCTTTAGGTGAAACACGTTAATTCTTATGTCAATCTCACTTTTTTTCAGGCACTCGCCAACATTTTTATTTCCGCGTACCATTTTTAATATGTAAAGTAAAAAAAAGGGTAAAGGAGCAATTTATTATTATTTTACTTCTATAAAAAACCCCCCTCTTACAAAGTATCTCCATTCTTGTATACCTTCTATCATAATTAGGATACTATTCATAGTTTCGGGAATAATACCCCCCAGAATTTACTATGTTTGATCAGAGTTACCAAATTATTGGGGGACTATAATTCCGATATTGTGTAGCATAATTTTTTCTTAAACTATGACAAAACACGGCTCGTTTCTAAGTCGTTTCCAAAATCTCGATGCGTACGCGAAAACACTCGATGATTTTCGTGTTCGGACATATTATGGAGCTGCTCGTAAGTTTTTTTTTATACTTTTTTATTTTAATGAGAAATCCAAAAACGTACTCTTTCTCAACCCGTTTTTCGGTTATTTTGGACAAAAGTTACGATAATAAGTACATGCCTCGTTATTGTTTTGTTGATGTCCGAGTATGCCGACTATAAACGCACGGAAATAAAAGCGGAACTGGTGGTAGATAAAAGTCGGAAGGAGAAGTTAACAATCAACATAAACATTACCTTTCCCAAGATACCTTGTTATTGTGCGTTTTTCTCGAAAGTAACTTTAACTCGTGCATTATTTTTTTTATTATGCATATTCTAATAAATAAATTAATTGAATTTTTCATTTGATCCATTTGGATAGTGTTAAGCTTTGATGTTATAGACTCGGCGGGGGAAGCGTATAGCGATGATTTAACGCATGATATTTATAAAACTCGATTAGACGTTAACGGGAATCATATTGAAAAAGAGAAAGCAAAAGGTTTATTTAAAAGAAAATCTTAATACTATTTGATTCATTAATAATATCTTTTTAAGATCATTAATTATATGATATAATGATTTTAGAACTCGGTGATTCAACGAAGGGCATTGAAAAATTTGCACCGAAACAATTAAGTAACGATACGACCGCCGATGGAAACTCAACAGAAAAGGAATGTGGTAGTTGTTATGGAGGGGAAGAACCACCCAGTGGATGTTGTAATACGTGTGAAGAGGTTCGAGAGGCTTATATGAAGAAAGGTTGGTCATTTGGTACAGCGGATAAAATTGATCAGGTGAAAAGTTGTTCGGGGTTTTTCTTATTTATTGATTCAAGCTTAACCTCATCATTGAATAGTTTCTAATGATTTCTAATGAAAAAACAGTGTGTAAAAGAAGGATGGGTAGATAAGATAAAAAAACAATCAAAAGAAGGGTGTAATGTTCATGGAACATTCAGCGTCAACAAAGTAGCGGGAAATTTTCATTTCGCACCAGGGAAAAGCTTTCAACAGAACCACGTACATATTCATGATTTGCAAGCTTTTCTCGAAGATTTTTCGAAACATGATTTTTCACATACTATACATCATTTAAGCTATGGTCCGATTGTGGATGGTGTTATTAATCCGTTGGATGGGGTGGTTAGACTTGTTGAAGAGGGTAGCTAATAATCAATAGTCTTTCTTTACTTTGTTTAATGTTGTGAGCATGGATATTTTAATGAAATTGGAATTCTCTTCTATTAGGAAATTATCAATATCAATACTTTCATAAAGTAGTCGCCACGCAATTTCATTACTTGAATAAAACCAGTGTTTATACTAATCAGTATTCGGTCACTCAATTCGAACGAAACTTGAGTGATCAAGACGAAATGAAATCTCATTCAAGCGGGCTACCCGGTAATGTCATTCATTATTCCTGCTGTTGTTCATACAATCAATCGTCGTCATAAGCATTTAAGAATTTTCTCATATTTAATCTAAAAACAGGTGTATGGTTCTACTATCAGATTTCTCCGATGTTAATCATAAATCGCGAACAACAAAAAAGTTTTACGCATTTTTTGACGGGTGTGTGTGCTATTGTCGGTGGGATATTTACTGTTGCTGGGATACTGGACGGGTTTATATATAATGCAGAGAAAACGTTAAAGAAAAAAATGGAATTGGGAAAACACTTGTGAGAATGTATCATAGATATTTACTTATTTACTTATTTATTTATTCATTTATTCTCTAAACATAATCTTGTATTGCGAAATTTGACCATGCAGCTGTAATAGGGTGTTGGTAGTAATTTTGGTAGTAGCATTATCAATTCCAAAAAATTAGTCGAATGACCCGCAGATTTTTCAAATTTAACATGCATTTTATGAATTCGATCTTTCAATCGTTGATCTACACTTTGTTGAATTCTACGATCATGTAGGTAATGAAATTCATTTCGTTCGTGAACTTTTTTCTAAATACCAAGTACACAGGTAAATGGCACGAACCTCCTTTTTGGTACATTTTTATCTGAAGGGGACGCACTGTACAACTTGTAATGGGTCCGGCCGGTTCCGGCAAGGTACTTCTTCAAGTTATTGCGAGAATTCTTGCTTGTCTCGTTAAAACTAGAAAGAATTTGTGTTGTTTTAATATATTTATATACAAATTTCTAGTCAACTTATTGCGCGACTATGATGACACATTGTCAGACTGTTGGGCGATCTATACACCTCATGAACTTGGATCCGGCTGCTGAGAGGTTCGAGTATAAGCCTTCTATCGGTAAGGTACACAATTAAAAAATTCATCAAAACAAAATAATAGCGCTAATCATTTCATTCATGATTATCAAAAGATATTCGCGATCTAATTACCTTGGAGGATGTTATGGAGGAATTACATTTTGGCCCAAATGGAGGATTAATATACTGTTTAGAGTAAGCTTCCTTTTTCAATCACGATTATCCTCCGTTTCTTTCATCATTCGTGTGAAGCAATCAGTTTCTTGATGGAACATATCATCTATTTATCTATCACACACATTTTATGTATACAACCTTTGATAGATTTCTTTTAAATAATCTTGACTGGCTTGAAGATGAATTAGGCGATTTTGAGGATGATTATTTGATTATTGATTGTCC